GAGCTCAGAGCGGGGCGCCAGAACCGGCTCAGTCGGTGGAGCGGGGCTCTCCCTGGGCCAGCCCTGCCCTGTTTCCTTTTCTCAGAAGGGAGGCGAAGTGGATCTGCGCCCCCAGCAGCCCCAGCCCTGCGCACGGACGGCCACGGCCCCACACACCCCTGTCTGGATGCAAAACCCCCCAGCCCTCCCTCCCCACTCGCCTGGGGTGGCTTGGGGCCCCCACGACCAGCGACCGCATGGTCAGCAGTGCCCCCAGCCCCACTTCCCAGGCTAAACCGGGTTCCAAGTTGCTCCCTGAGCTGTCAAAACGTGAAGGTCTGGGGTCCCCCTTCTCAGCTGTGTCCTAGCAGAAATTCACCTGATAGCCAGTTCTGTCCCAGACACGGACACAGGCGTGGCTTTGCTCAGGGGAAGACACCGTAACCCAGAGACCTGTGACATGGCACTTCAGGCACAGGGTCCCCAGCCAGAGGGGTGAACGCTGCTCTAGGCCTGCTCTGCGGAGGCACAGACAGCGTGTGAGGCCCTGGGACTCCCTGCAGGCTCAGCCACAGGCTCCTGGGGTGTCCCCGGCTGAGGTTGGGGGACAGGGATGCTTTGGGGAAGGAGGACTCTGTAGAGGCTTCTGGGTATCGCCCCTTGCTTGGAGCAGCCAGAAGCGAGCACCGGGTCCGGAGTCCAGCACCTGCTTGGCCCTGTGAGGCTGGCCTTGGTTTCCCTATTTGTGGTGGGGGTGATAGCTAGGGCTGTGGCTGGCAGGGGTCACCATGGTGCTGGCCAAGAAACGGCCCCTGGCTCTGTGGGCGAGTGCCCCGTGACAGCTCCGTTCCCACCAGAGACGTCCATGGGCTGGGGCTGGGGCTGGGGTGCCGGGGGTGGCAGAGCATGTCAGCCTCTCTCCGCCCGCCTGGCCTGGCCCAGCTGACCAGCTGACCGTGCAGGCAGCCCCGGGCCGGAGACAGCTTGGGCAGCGTCACGCCAGCAGCCCTGTGGAGAGTGGGAGCCAGGAGGCGGCTGCCCCTGCACAGACCCTCTCTGGACACGCTCAGCCGGGCTCGGGCCCTCAACACGGCCGGGGCCCAGGTCACACAGACAGTGGCAGTGGGGACTCCAGGCCATGGTCCCTCCGTTCCAGGGATGCCCAGTGCCTTTCAGCCCCTCACTGGTCAGCCCAAGGCTGACCCCTCTGAAGGTCTGGAGGAGACCACAGCTGACTGCAAGGGAGACGGGCCGGCTCGAGCCCATGACCCTCATCCAGGGGAAGGAAGGTGAGGGCCAGGACGCCCTGGTCCTGGGAGCCCTGGTCTTGGGGTGCCCAGGCGGCAGCATGCAGGGAGCAGAGCCCAGTGAGGCTCAGGGGCCGAAGGGCCCTGGGGAGATGAGGCTGGACGAGTGGCAGGGGCCTACTCAGCCCTGCAGAGCAGTGCCCGCCTTGCAGGGCCTTTCAGTGCAGAAGTTTGGGCCAGAGGAGGAGGGGCGGTACCCAGAGGCAAGACTCAGACACATTTCTGGGCTTCCGGGAGGGTCTGTGCTGGGAGGATACGTGGGCCCAGGCCTGCTCGGGGCTCCCTGGAGTTCGGGTGGGGCTGCGCCCAGCAGCCTGAGCACAAGGTGGGCGTGAGGGTGCTCATCCGGCCACTTGCCAGGAATGGCCTCGCGAGGCTGGGTCATCAGTGCAGCCCCTGGCCCTGGTTGTCTGCCGGGGGGGCTCCCTTGCTGCGGGCCCCTCCCACGTTGCTCCTGGGCCCTGACTCGCTGCACACAGGGCTGGCCTTGGGCTTGGGTGGTGGCCCAGCGTCCTGAGGCAGTGACCGGGACCTCCCTGACCGGAGCCTGAGACTCCCGTCCACTCTGGGCCGTGGCCCCATCTGCAGCATGGGTGGTGGACGTGCAGTCTCTGGGCACTTCTGGTCCTGGGGGTCCTGGGGGGGCCTGGCGTCCTCTCCTTGGCCAGTCCTGGTGCAGGAGGGGGCGGGGACCCACAGCTCCTCTTTCCGCCCCCAGCCAGAGGCTCATTTCAGCCATTAACCTTCTCTGCCCGGCGTGCCCACGGCTGCCCGCCTGTCACCTCCATTAACGCTGGGGCCGTGTGCGCCAGGGGGCTTGTGGGCAGGACAGAGAGCCCAGGCCCAGGGAAGGCAGGGTGGCAGCAGTTTCGCGGGTTGGCAGAGTCTGCGGCAGTGCGGTGCCTGGGGGCAGGCCTGTCTCACCCCCTCAGCGTCGGGCACACGGCCCTTGCCAGGACAGGCGTGGTGCCAGCTGGCCCGCACCTGCCCACGGGTGCAGGGACGAGGGGTCTGTCTCACGAGCGGCAGCGGCTCTGGGAGCCCTGGGTGGGGTGAGTGCCACCAGGGTGCTTGGACTCGGTGCGTTTGCCCTGGGACACGTGGCCGCCCAAGAGCATGTGCGAGAACCCCAGGCCCAGAGAGCATCTGTATCCTCAGGGCATCACCCTCTTACCCATTCAAGGTGGTCTCGGGGACCCCAGGCTGAGAGGACGGCCCCGGGCTTGGCCTGGGCAGGGTTGTGCCTGAGGGCCCTGGGCACCCACCGCAGCTGCCGCCCGTGGTGGTGCTGGTCACAGCAGGGACACAGCAGGGCTGGTCGGCTGGGCTGGGAGAGCGCAGGACTCGAGGGCTGGGCAGGAGCGTGGCCCACGGGGTGAGCACAGGCTTGGCCTGGGGATTCTCTGCCTGGGGTCTGTCCAAGCTAGTCTGCCCTGGGGCAGGGTCCTAGGGCAGGCGCTTGCCCAGGACTCCGCTTGGCAGCCGGACCCTCCATGGTGGCCCCAGGCTGCTCCGTGCCTGACGTGCTGTGGCCCTGGCCATCCCAGAGCCCACTGCCGAGAGTCTGAGCACCCATCCCTGCCCCAACCAGGTGGGTCCTTTGCATGCTCCAGCCCGGACATCTGGGTCGTAGGCCCCCTGGGTTGGGGTGTGAGGCCGACTCTCCATGCGCCCTGGGCACCGTGGGTGGAAGAGGCTCCTGGACGCTCCTTGCTGCAGTGGGAGTGAGCTCCCCGTCATGGGAGGCATGCGAGCTGGGGCAGGAGCCTCTAGAATCAGAGGGAGTGGCCAGGCCAGGCGGGTGGGATGAGAGGCACAGGCTGCCTGAGCCCCCACCCGGTTTCTGAGGCTGACACTGGCCAAGCAGCGCCCGGGGCTGACAGCAGCCATATGTTGGGGAGAGGAGCTGCGTGCATCGCTCTGCGGCCCCCAGGGCCGGCCTTCCTGGGCCTGTCATAGACGATTTTCCCCGCCTGAGTGGCAGGCGGGCTGGCGGGGGGGCTGAGGGGGCCTCCAAGCTGGCCTCACGTCCAGCCCACCACAGCCCCCAACACCCGACTGGCCACTCGGGGCAGATCCAGGCGCTGGGCCTTGGCCTTAAAACCCCCCAATATCTTGCTGAACATCCCCCGCCCCGGGCATGGCCACCCCTGTCCAGTTTTAGGCTGAGGCCCCTAAGAGGAGCCCTGGCCGGCCAGCGGGGGCTGGGCCCTCCTGCTCAGATGTGGGTGGGGGGCCAGGGGTCCGCACTGGGCAGCCGTGCGCCCCGGGCAGGTGGGAGAGGGCCCCGAGCTGCAGCCCTGTCAGCCCAGCGCCCAGAGCAGTGCGGAGGGAGGTGGGGCGGCCGCGGCTAATTTGTACACTAAGTGCTTCTGACAGGGGCGCCTCACAAGTGAGAACACGCCGCCACCCGCCCTGGGAAGCCGCCGTGGCCAGCAGCGCCAACGGCGAGGGGCTGGGAGAGAGGGGCCATGGGGGTGCAGGGCCGACCTGGGCCAGGCCAGTGGGGAGAGAGGGCTAGGGCCGGGGCTGAGGGTGGGAAGGGGAGGGTGGAGCAGGACAGCCCCTGGTGCTCAGGGCCAGTTCATTGCCTGCGGCTGGGCTGCCCGTGCCCAGCCTGCCAGGCCCTGGTGGGTGAAGCCCACTCCTCAGGCCGGCCTGGCCCTGTCCTGTCTCTGCTCGCCGGGGGCCCCCACCTCCCGCCGATGCCTGCCCAGGTCTGGCCTGCAGTGGCCCCAACTCCTGTGGATTCCTCCCCCACTTCCTCCCTGCAGGCCATGCACAGGGGAGGGGAGAGCGGGCTAAGGGGTGGGCATGAGCCCCTTGCCCACGTGGAGCCCCCTGTCCTGCCCGGATGGCGCAGGGCTTCCTGGCGTGTTTCATGCCTGGGGCTGGAGGCTGCAGAAGCCAGAGGTGGGTGCTGGGTGGCCAGGGACAGAGAACGGAGGCCTCAGGAGGACCTGGGGTCCCAAGACCCCCAGGAGCGGACAGAGCCAGGTCTGTGCCAGACACGGGGTGGGTGCGGGCCCGGCCCACCCAGCGGGAGAAGCCCCAGCGTGGCCGTGCAGTCGCAGTGGAGCAGGGCAGGCGTCCGCGGGCACGGAGGTGAGATGTGTTGTGGCAGCTCCCCCGCCGCCCGAGGCCCGCCCGGAGCGAACACTGCTGGTGGCTTTAATTGCTTTCACATTCGATAGGCCGCCCCGACAGGCCTCTCGCGACGGCTGGCCGCACCCCAGCCCCTCACCCCACCCAGGCAGAGCCACGAGGGGACGCGGCCGGGACAGAGCCCCACCCAGGCAGAGGGACATGAAACTTCTCCCCACACGTCCCCTTTGCTCCATCTGCTCCTGCCTAACGGTGGCTCTGTTCAGACAGTGCCCCCAACGCAGACTTGTCACTGGGGAGGCTGTGGGCATGCACCGTCCTGGTGGCCGTGGGCCTGAGGCCCGAGGGGCTGGTCCAGCCTGCGCCCCGACACTCGTTCTCCCCGGCGCATCTCCCAGGCCTGGGCCCCAGCTGGGCCCCTGCCCCTCGGAGGCTCCAGGTGTGGCCAACCTGCTCTGCCAAGCCCCAGCCTGAGCCTGCGGGGCGAGGGCAGGGCCACCGTCCCCACAGGGCCTCAGGATACGTCACCCCACCCACGAGCTGGCCCCTGAACAGCCCTCTCTCCCCACGGGGCCCTGGACCCCTGGGAGGACAGCAGATGAGACGTCATTACAAAACAAAACGCTTTATTTGGTCCACTGGAGCCTGAGTCTGGAATCCACCATGGAGAGTCGTGTCGTACGGGAGGGGGACTGACAATTCATAAAATAGTCTCTGTGTCAGAAGAGCTGGCCATATGTACAGGGTTAAAAATATTCACAGCTCAGAGTAAAAGGAGGCCCAAAGGGGAGAGGGGAATGTTTCTCTAGGTGTAAAAACCCCCCAGCCCTGCAGGACAGGAGGGCTGGGGGCTGGCTGGCTGCCGCTGCCAGGGAGGGCTGGCTGGGGTGACACTGGGCAGGAGGGTGGCTCAGCAACCTGGGCGTCTAGTGGGGAAGGCGCCATGGCCGCGCTCTGCCTGTGCCCGGGACGGGGCTGGGCTCCCTCTCTGCCACACGGCCAAGGCTGTGGATGGGGCTGTCCCCTGGCCTGCCTGGCAGGGGTCTGGTGGTGCTGAGGACGCGGCGCCTCCCCAGACAGCAGGCAGGGCCAGGCCCCAGCCCGCCAGCCCTGCCATGGCTTCGATCCTGGCAGACGCTCCGGGAATTGCATAGTGTCGCTGGAGGGGCGGCTGGACAGGGGACACCCTCCTTCCCCAAGACGTGCCACTCGGCGCCAGGCTCTGGGGTGCCTGTGGGGGGCTGGGAGCTGGGCTCTGGGCACAGACCCAGAAGGTTCTGACCTCAGGCCCCACAGACGGTGGTCCCTGATCTCACCACGGTCACGACCTCTGACACCCAGATTTGGTTTTGTGAGCAGAGCTGCAGCCGCCCACTCTGGCAGGAGAGCCACCGCCTGAGAGGGGCAGCCAGGCTGTGGACCCGCCCGTCGCCGCCGTCCCCCAGGCCGGCACAGCCTGCCCGGTTCGAGGTATTCTGCTTGGCGGCCGGGAGGCCTGGTCAGGCGGACGGCGGGTGCTGGGGGTGCCGGGGAAGCTGCAGCCAGAGGCTCCCTGGGTGGGTCCTGAGATTCTGGTCAAGCGTCCTCCACCGGGGTCTCCCCCTTAAAGTGCGTGGGGGGCGGGCAGGCGGTCCACGTGCCCACAGCCTGGCCCGGGGGCGCGGTGGTCACAGCGGCCGGGGCCCGTGCAGACCCGCCACCTCGGGCGTGAGTGGGGGGCTGTGGGTGCCCTTGGAGGCCGTCCAGTCGCTGAGGAAGGCCTGGGCCGCCTTGCGGTGTGCCAGACGGTGGGTGATGGAGAAGCCGGCGTTGCCCTCCAGCTGGGACAGGATCACCAGGACCTGCCTGAAGAGGGAGCCGGTGAGGCCCGGTGCGGGGCCTGGGGCTGGGGCGGGAGGGGCGGGGCACCCACCTGTGCAGGGGCGGCACGCTGTCCTGGGTGCGCAGGCTGCCGCGCGTGGACACCACGTTGAAGCTGTCCGTGCAGTCACACTGCACGTGCAGGAAGGACCGCGGGTGCCGGTTCTCAACCACCACGATGAGCCCCGCCCAGCCGTGCGTCAGGTAGTAGCAGGTCATGCCCTCGCGGCCCTGGGCACAGGCGCAGGCGTGGGGCGGGGCTGGGCAGGCGCCCCCGGCCACCCTCCCCGGGGACCCCCACCCACCTCGTGCCGCTCGCCCCGGCTCTCGGTGAGCAGGATGATGGCGTCGGCCAGCGTGGTCGGCTGGGCCTCCACCGGCTCCACCATGACCAGCCGAGAGCTGTACACGGCCAGCACGTGGCCGGGCGGCGCGGGGGCGCCTCGCGGGGCTCCTGACGAGGGGCTGGAGGCTGCAGGGAGGGAGTTTGTGAGCCGCAGCTGTCCCCGCCGGGCGCTGACCCCGGGCCTGCGGTGGGGGGGCCTTACCCTGCGCGGCGGGGGGGCCCGGCGGGGCGGGGCTCCAGTGGTTGAAGGCACAGCACACCACGGCGTACTCGCCGGGCTCCAGCATGACGTCGCAGTTGACGAACTTCTTGACGGCGCGTTTGCTGTGGGCCAGGAGGCGGCCCAAGCTCAGGTGGCCACCGCTCCCGAAGGTGGCCCGGAACACCAGGATGCACAGGTCCAGGAGGTGGCTGTCCACTGCGTCCGAGCGCCTGTGGGCCGGAGACCACGGGTGGGGGTCACGTCGCATGTGGCCCCAGCCCCTGGCCCGGCGGAGCCTCCGTGGTGCCCACCTGCTGCCCTCCTGGAAAAGCGCGAACTCCAGCGAGGCGCGCTCAAGCACCGTCAGCGCCGTCACCCCCACGTTCCCGCTGGCAGAGCTGGGGAAGCAGCCCTGCACCCGCACCTCCTGCCAGTCCGAGTGCACCTTGCAGATGTCCACGGAGTCGAAGTACCTGGGCGGCCGGAGGACGGGCCCTGAGCCTCCCACAGCCCACGCGCTCCCGGTGTGGCACCGCCATCCTCCCACCGCCCGGCCCCTCTGGGGACCGACGTGGACATGCCCTTGGGGAAAGGCTCTCTCAGCGGGACATGCAGTCCCGGCCCCTGCCGCCAGGCCGCCATCAGCGGGCGCTGGGCGCAGAATGACTGGGAGATGGCAGAGCCCCGGGTGGCAGCCCCGTGACCCCGGTAAACCCAGATCCCGAGGTCGTGCCCAGATGCTGTGGCCGGATCCCACACGGCCTGGGTCACAGACAAGCTGCCCCGGCCCCAGGCCAGCAGGAAGGACGCAGCCCTGGGAGGGCGGCGGGGCTGTCACGTGTGCCCGGCCCTGGTGCCCGGATACCTGATGAAGTCGCTGTACTCCATCCAGAAGACGCCCTCGCTGCTGCCGTGGGGCATGAGCTCGCCGCGCAGGTGCCCCGGCCAGTGCGGCCACTCGTCCGACCAACTGCCATTCCAGGAGAAGCGGCCCCACGGGTTCCGGAGCCGTAGGAGCCTGTGGACCACGGGGCTGAAGGACAGGCCTGTGCCACCCACGGCTGCCACCCACAGCCAGCCCGGCCCCTACCTGGTGCCCTGGACATCGCGGACGTCCAGGATGGAGTAGGCGTGGCGGGGACGCAGGCCCAGGCTCTCGTACGCGGAGTCGTCCACCTTCATGTTCCCCCCGCCACAGGAGGCGCCCATGAGGAACCTGCGCGGCAGAGTGGCCCTCGCTGACTGGGGACCCTTCCCAGCCTTGGTCCTGCCCCCAGGACAGGGAGGGGCAGCAGGGAGGTGCCCCCTCCTGCCTGGGAGGACTGGGCTCCAGGGACAAGAGGTGTGTTCAAGATAGGTTGGCCCAGCGCCTCCGTGTGCCTGGGCAAGGCCTGGGTGCCCAGCGGCGCCGAGTGGGGGTCTTGGCACCATGAGCCCCCCCGGCCTGTGGCGTCCGTAGGTCCTCAGGTCTGGACCCTCCCGCAGCTTCCCAGGGGCTGGGCCTGCCACGCTAGCCAGTGTGCGGCGGGTCTCAGGACGCGCCCCACCCCACGGGCGCCCTGGGCAGGAGGTGGGGCCACCTGGCTGTCCCCACTGGCCCGGGCTGGGACGTGGCCCTCCTGGTGTGGGAGGGGGTCACAGGGCTGCAAGGGGCCGGATCCCACCAGGCTCCTGGCTGCGGCCGGTCTACACCGGGGGCACCGTGGACACGGGGTGTGGGTCAGAGGGCGCTCGCCCCCCGCTTCTCCCACCGCTCCACCGCTGCTGCGGCGCCCGCCCCTCTTACCCAGCCTCCTTAGAACTCAGCATTTTGGCCCAGATGAGGTCAGTGTCAACGGGCTCCTCGCGGGGGTTAGTGGAGCTGACCTGCAGCGCCAGGCTCTCGCAGGGGGCGCCGGTGAGAGTGGCCAGGCCTTCGATGGCGCGCCCCGCCTGGAGCGCAAAGTAGGAGCCGTGCAGCTTGGCCAGCGCCTTCTCGATGAGAGCCACCCAGAGCTGCTTCCGCTGTGCCTGGGGAGGGGCCGGAGTCAGGGGCCACGGCCGCCCGCCCCCAGCACCCCGCCCCCCGGCGCCCCACCGGCGCACCTGCGAGAAGAGGAGGAAGCCGGCCTCGTCGCAGGGCAGCATGTCGTCCACCAGCACCGTCGTCCACGTGCCGTCCTTGCACAGACGCACCTGGTAGGCGCCCTCCGCGCACAGGCTGCGCGTGACCATCACCCGTTCCACCAGGTCCGGCCGCTCGGCCAGCACCGCCAGCGCGCTCAGGAACCTGCGCAGAGCGGGCGGGCCTCAGTGGGGGGCCTCGGACAGGCCACCCCCCGCCCCGCCCCGCCCCGGGCCCCTGGGGCCTCACCAGCAGTTCCCCAGCAGCCCCTGCAGGATGTCCGAGGGCCGGAGCGTGTGGAAGACAGACCACGGGGCGCCCTGGTCCCTGAAGACGGAGCAGTTGATTTCGTGGGGTCGAAGCCACTGCTTCACGCGCTGCTGGACGCTGTCGCCCGCGGGGAAGCCCACAGACTCGGGCCCGGGAGGGAAGCTGTCATCCACAAAGTTCACGCTGTTCTGCAGAGAACACAGCCGGTCACTCAGGCTGGGCAGGGCAGCCTCGGGTCCAGCGTGAGTCTCTTTCTGGGGCAAGACCCACCTGCCCAGCAGCGCTGAGCTCCAGGAGGGAGGGTGGGCTGTGCGAGGCCCCAGGCCTCAGTGCCGGCCCTGCCCGTGTGGAGGGCTCAGCTCAGGATGACTCTGTGCAGGCCAGGGGGCCGCAGCCCACAGCCCAAGACACTGCGAGGGGAGCCCAGGGAACAGCGTAGCCCCCAGCTGGAGGCTGACGGGCAAGGGGTGACGGGCAACTGGCAGCTGCCACCTGCGGCTGGGACGAGGGAGGGTGCGCACAGCCCCCAGTCAACCTGAGGGTGGCGCCACCCTGGGCTCAGGCCTCCCGAGGCTCACAGGGAAGAGAGCCTGGGCGTCCCAACCCCGTGGTTCAGAGGGTCTCCATGCTGCCCGAAGCCCTGCCTGCCTGTGGGTTTACACGTCTGGGGCTCGGGGACCTCCCCGGGCGCGGAGGAGGAAGGGGTGTCATGTGGGTGAATGTCACTTCCTGTCACCAGCAAAAACAGGACCAGGTGGGGGAGACTGGGGCCGTGGGGGCCGCATGTGGCACGTACCTCGCGGCAGAAGGCCACGATGTTCTCCCACAGGGCCTTGGCCTCGCCCTCGTCCGTCTGCCGCCGCTTCTCCACGTGCATGCTCTCCCTGCGCTTCAGGGGCGCGGCCCCTCGGCGCTGGGCCACCAGGAGCTGGGGTGTGTGGCAGGCAGCGCAGTGCTTGGCCCGGGGTGCGTTCAGCAGGGTGCAGGCGGGGCAGGCCCACTGGCCTGGGCGCTCGGGCAAGAGGCGGGTGGCCTTGGGGGCCAAGGGGACCCGTCCGCAGCTGCTGCCGCAGGGGCCGGGCTTGTCCACACCGCAGTCGGGGCAGCAGGCTGGGGGCTCGCTGTGCTCCTGGAAGCCATGCAGCTTGGAGCAGCCGCATGCCGTGCACCTGGGGGCCGCGGTGGGGTTCCTGAGCGTGCACCTGGCGCAGGACCAGGTGGTGAAGTCCGGGCTGGAGGGGCTGGCAGGTGTGTAGCGCACGGTGTCCCCGGCCAGGTCTATGATGTCGCTGCCCAGGGAGGAGCTGCTGGCCTCGACGTGGGTGGGGCCGGCCTCTGAGGCCTCCTCCTCCAGCACGCTCAGCCGCTTGCCGGAGAGCAGCTCCGCCAGGCGGGAGGCTCCAGCGGTGGCCCGGCCTGGGCCCTGCGGGGACCCCCTGGAGACAGTGGAGGGCGAGGGCTGAGCAGCCTCAGGCACCAGTGGCTGCAGCTGGGGGGGCACCTCCCGGCGGCTGCGGGGCACGGGGTTGTTCTGCAGGGTGGCGGAGAAGGGGCTGAAGGGTGGTCTCCTGGGGGGCTCCTGGCCGGCAGGGGCCGGGTCGGCCTCGGCACCGTCTGAGGGCAGCCCCGGCTGGGGCACGGCAGGCACGGCGTGGAAGCCAGCGGGGGCCACAACTTCGGGGACCACCAGGGCCTCAGGAGGGATCCGGGGCAGCGAGAGTTTCCGGGGCCCCCCGCAGGCAGAGCAGGAACTGGCCACGGGCGTGTTGTACAGCGTGCAGCGTGGGCACGCCCAGCCGCTGCCGGGCTCCGCTGTGCCCGCCTCCTCCGCCTCGGGGTGGCCCCCGGCTGGCTCCACAGCTGCCAGCCCCGCTGTCCGCACCGGCCCTGCCTCCTCCTTGCAGCCACCCTTGGGCTCTGCCAGGGCGGTGGGCGGCTTGGGCAGGACCCCGTTGATGATGGGCAGGGGGGCCCCCGGCGCGGGCTCCGGGGTGAAGCCACATACTTCACAGGCTTCCCTGCCCAGGAGGTTCCGGAAGGTACAGCGGGCGCAGGGCCATTTCTGCTCCTCCACGCTGAGCCGCAGGATCTGGTCGAGGTCGGGCTTGTGCCGGGGGGCCTCGCAGATGGAGCACTGGCGCTGGCCGGCCGGGTTCAGGAAGGTGCAGCGCGTGCAGGACCACTCCCCCACCGCGGCCATAGACCCGGGTGAGTGGCTGTGGCTGCAAGGAAAGCGCCGGTCAGTGCCACCCCCGAGGTCCTCACGAGGACTCCCCCATCCTGCTGGCCGGGGGAGGCGCCTGTCTGTGGCTTCAGGGCTGGTGACGACCCGACAATGCGGCCACCCGGGGGGGCTGGCGGGGAGGCAGCCTCCGTCCAGGACGGGTCCACAGCTCGGGGTGCAGCAGACCCCCAGGCCCTAGTCCGGGGGCAGGCGCAGGACCAGGAGCCCTGCCCAGACACGGGCGGCACACAGCAGTGCGGGCACCCTGAGGCTGAGGGGCAGGTGTCCCTGGCACCCTGCTGGAGGCACGTGGCCATCCCCTGGCCCAAGGAGGGGACATGCCCTATTCTCCCTGGCACTGGGACAGGGACAGTCCGCACAGCGCACGGCAGGCTGCCCGCAGCCCTGAGCACGGCCCTGCGCGGGGCCGGTCTCTGCGCCTCCCAGGTGTGCACGGTGCTCAGGCTCCGGCGGGGCAGGTGGGCCGTGCCTCCCGCTCCTCTGGTGTCTGGGCTGGGACGGCGCCGGCAGGCTGCTCTGGGAGGGAGGGGTCTCCACACCCCACACAGAGTCTCCTGACTGACTGTAGCTGCTCTGCCTGGCAGAAAAATCAATTGTTCTTTACAACACGTCGCAAATCTGGTGCTTCTAACAATATGTTGCAGCTAAACCCTTTTGATTCAAGAAGAAAGCAAACTTGCCTCTTCAAATAAACCAAAAAAACCCAAGAAATCTCCCCAAGCAACATGACTGTTTCCCGGAGTCCAGAGCAACCTCTGTGACGCCGCCTCCCCTGTGCAGAGGCAGGTGGGCTCAGCCCCTGTGGCTGAGGCTCCAGCTGCCCTTGGGGAGGCAGGTGAGGGCAGCTTCGGCCTCGGCTCTGTGCTAGGAAAACCCTGAGAAAGCTGCTGAACACGCCCAGACCTCTCCCCTCCCGCTCCCCACTTGGGAGAGGGGTCACGGCCAGCGTGTGCCTGTGTAGAAACACACACACACACACACACACACACACACACACACACACACACACAGAGACACACACACGCCACAGACTTGTGCTCCGCCCTGTACTCCCCACGCGGCCTGGCCATGGGGGCAGCACAACGAGCTGGACGGCCCAGCTGAACCGAGCGGTCACCGAGGTTAGCGGCACCTGGGCGTCAGGTGCAAGGGGGACCTGCCCGGGCCTGGCTGGGCGGGGGCCTGTGAGCCGCCTCTCCCTCCTCACGACAGGGTGGTCACTGGGGGTGCCGTGAAAATTCGGCAGCCAAGAAGGTGGGATGCCCAGAAGGCATGGCCCTTCGGTAAACACAGCTCTGAATTTAAAAACCTTGAACTTCCATTTGCACACACGAACTTCGTAAAAAACAAAAGCGACAGAAGCCATCCACCCAAGTGCCATGAGTGTGGTGGCGCTCACGGCTGGGACGCTGGGCCCGACGCCACTCTCAGGACGCAATGCAGGAACTCCACTCCTAGCAACTCTTCCACAGGATGTAAGTATTAGTAAATGGAAGTAAAAAGACACACGTGGACAAACGAAGACGTGGAGAGACGCTCATCATTCGCCGTCGGAAAATGCAAATCAAACCAAGTGAGGTCCCACTTCGCACGGCGAGGACAGCCCGAGTCCCAAAGACCAAGGCAGGCCGTCCAGGATGTGGACTGGAGACACCAGACCCCGACACTGCTGGTGGGAACGTAACATGGGACAGCGCTTGGGAAAACGGTTTGCCAGTTTCTTAGAAAGTTAAACGTTAACTTACCACAAACCCCAGCAACGCTCTTGCCAGGTTCTACCCAAGAGAGATGAGGACAAGTCCGTGAAACTTGTCCGTGGCTGTTCGTTAGCAGCCTTATTCACAAAAGCCAAGTGCAAACAGCCGGAGTGTCCACGAGCAGATAAACAGAACGCGGTCCATCCGCCCAGCAAACAGTGCACGCGAGTGACCGTGCCACCACACAGACCAACCTGGAGCATGTCACACTGAGACACGTGAGCCAGACACCTAAGGCCATTGACTCCGCTTACGTGAGATTTCTAGAGAGGGCAAATCTACGGACAGGAGGCCGGGCAGTGGCTGTCTGGGCTGGGGGCGACAGCGAACGGGCAGGGTCTTTGTGGGGTGCAGAGACGCTGTCACACTGGATCGACCACAGTGACTGAGCTGCACACTGAGGCTGAGTCAATTTGGCAAGTTGTATCTCAATAAAGCTGCTTACAGAGACAGGTACAGAGACCTCCACTAGAGCATCACCGAACGGGGGAATGTGCCTGGGGCTGCCACGTGTGCAGCAGGAACACGGGGTCACTCCCCGCGAGCCCTCAGCCACGCCGCCTTGCCCTGGGCCCCAAGCTCCGCCACGGCTCCCTGTCCACTAGGGTGACTCCTGGATAAGACTTCCAGGGCTCTTGCGCCTGGCCCCAACCCCCCAATGAGGCCATGTTGGCCAGGATCTCAGGTCTCAGCAGTGACACCTCTCTGGGGGGCTGGCACCCAGGCCTGGCCACACCGGCTCGTGAATACCCACTACGATGCTGCCTGCTGCCTGAGGCTCACACCTGGGGGTCTGCAGACATGTCAGAGTAAGGGACGAGGGTGCGTCCCCTGAGCAAGTCAGGCTGGGCACTGGCAGAGCAAGGGCTGCCAGTGCTGCCCCCGCCCCCCGGCCGGAGGACCCTGAGGAGCACCAGGTGCCCTCCCTCCAGTGAGGCCACAGGACAGGGCAAGGCAGAGGCGCCAGCGAGTGTCCCCAAACTGAGGGGGGCTCTCCAGGTGACCCAGCGGGCAGCCAAGGCCTCAGCAACAGCAGCCCCTCCCTGCTCCCAGGCCCATGTGGCCCCCACAACGCCCTGGAGGCAGCCGTGTTGCAACAGGGCCCGCAGACGGGGCGGGGAGCAGGCACACGCTCTGGCGCGCCGGCCACCAGGGTCGGGTCGGCAGCCTCCCCAGCCCAAAGAGCAGCTCTGGAAGCAGCTCTCCCAGGAGCGCGGCTGTGAGGCCCAGCGGTGGGCTGTCCTGGCGCCCGCCTGTCCCGACCAGGCTGACCAGCGGGGCCACGGCTGCACGGCCGGCTCAGGAGGAGGGCCGGGCTCCCAGACCTGCCCGGCCACGAGTGGGGACAACCCAGAGCTCCTCAGCTGCTCCTTCAGGGGCAAGTGAGTTGTCAGAGAGCAGGAAGAAACAGGGACCCCACTTCTCTGCAAGAACCTCTGCCAAGGAAGGAACACCCCGAAAAAGAGGCCTTCTGCCCACAAGACCCCTCGGGGAGGCTGCCCACTCCCCACCTCCTTACCTTCGGGCCCGGGGACGTGGGGGCTGGTGCTGCCGGGTGACCAGGGCACCTCCCCAGACAGGCCCCCCTGGACCGCTCCTACACCAGCTGGCTGCTGCCAGGGGCCCTGGGTAGGGCGGCCCCCCAGGGAAGCTGTGGTCCGACTCCGTCTCGGCAGCCAGGGAGGAGGCAGAGCTCCCCATGGCCCCCCTGACATCGGCCGCTCGGAGAGCCGGGCCTGGTCACCTCTGGCCGGCGGCGGGCGAAGTGGAGCATGGAGGGAGGAGAGTGCCCACGCCAGGGACAGGGCGGCCGGCTGGTCACAGTGACATGACAACAGAAATAGAGAGAAAGAGAGAGAGAGAGAGAGAGTAAAAGCAGAGAAAAAACAGCATGACCCACACACTCGAAACCTGGGAGGGGTCCTGCGTGCCGCGTGGGCGCAGGGCTGGCCAGAGCCAGAGCCCCGTCTATGGCACCCGCAGGCTTCCTCCTCCCGTCAGGGGCCCAGTGGGTGGAGGTCGGGTGTCGGACGCCAGGGTGCCAGGACATACCCCTGCCCCTGAAAGCCCACATCACTGGTCTCTGGTCTTCAGAGAGGTCTTACTCGGTGGTGGGAAAAGAGACCACGCGATTCTGCTGTATTGCAGGACAAAGGACCGAGGGGACACTTAACCAAAGGGCAGGGGGCACAGTGGAGCTGGTCAGGCCCCAGAGTGGCCTCAGGGGAGGTGTGTGGAGCCACCATGAGGCCCCACAAAGACCCCGGGCCTGGGGTGCACAAGGAGCCAAGGTGGGGCCGAGCCACACAGCTGCCCACAGGAGCCTTCTGGAAGGACAGGAGCCTGACCACGTGAGCCCACACACCCTGGCCAGCCCCAGCCCCTGAGAGGCCGGTGCAGCTGAGGGCAGGGCTGGCCACTCGGGTCTCCCTGCAGGGAGGCGAGACTCACCCTGCTGGCCAGGCTTCCCTGGGGGGTCGTCTGCTCAGGAAGGGCCTCTGAGCCCTCTGGCTGAAGGGGGGATCAAACGCAGCCCGAGAGCGTCAACCCTGGGACGGGGTGGAGTCCCACGAGTGTGGTGCCCAGGGTGCTGTGGACACACACCCTCCCCTCCTCGCGGGCTCTGGGCCACAGTGGGTGCCCAGCCCTGGGGTCCACTGTCACCAGCGACAGCCCTTCTCCCAACTTCTGCCAAGACTCTGGGATACAGAGCGGGGCTGGGTGGGAATGGGGGATGGTAGAAGAGGCACCAAAGGGCACACCCTGGACAAAGCCCCACGTGGGGGGTTCCCAGGTGGGTCCACAGTCCACACAGGCAGGGCTGCCTGGGGCCTTTCAGAGTCAGGGGGACCAGTGGAGGTGCCCACGGGGCGGAAACTGCTCACGGTGGGGCCCTGGGCTGGCTAGTCCCCAGCCGCGAGCCCAGAGAACTGTCCCTCTCATGGCCACCCTCAGCTCCTTGGTGACCTGCCTGCCCCTCTGTGTCCAGGGAGACCCTCGAGGAGTATGGGCTCACACATGCTGCTGCGAGCATGAGCTCCTGGGAGGACCCACCTGCTCTCACGGGTGCCCCTGGCAGGCCTGGGCAGAGACGGTGTCTGGCCGCACACAGGCAGCCACTGCGCGTGCCTGTCACCGAGCAGAGCCACATGCTGGCCTCGCCCGCCGGGCTGGCTCAGACACCTCCCAGAGCTGGATCCAGCCTCGGCAAACTGGCCCT